TCTGACTGGGTTCGGTATCCCGGCTGCTTCGTTTCTTGGGAAGTAAACCCAAAGTACACAATATTGCACTTTTGATTTGCGATTGTACGCTTATAATTTTGTTTATATGTTTTTTCATAACCAGCAATGTATATTATATGTCATGAATAAGTGATAATTGTGTTTTAATTATGTTTGATTTTTTGGTTGCATGTGACCTTTAACTGTTTACTTGCTCTGGGTTTCAAGAAAAATATTGCAATAGTATAGTATTGTAATGGTTGGTCGCAATAGACTATCGATATCGCAATAGTATGTTGCAATAGACTATCGATATTGCAAAGTTGTTTCCCCCTCAATAGTCACTCCTATTAAAAATTATAGGTGTTGCGAAACATTTTTCCAATATACGTTCCCATGTTAGCTCAAAATTGCGACGCGACGTTCGGCGTAGATCATCATACCGCAGTTAAACAACTCAAGAGAAGACCTCCTGAATACTCTACTGGACAACAGTCACATCTGTTTAAAAATCAGCTGTCTGTATACTATTAGCCTCATCTGGGAAATGCCAGATAGGAATCTCAGTGAACTACTGATCCCACACAAACCGACGCGCTGCTATTTCTGCTAGCCACGGGCCAAAGGACCAAAAGTTGGGTCGTCTACTTCCGTTCACATTGTCGACGCGTATGGAATCCAGGAGTGGTGTCAGCGATGTGAGTGCACGCCTATCTTGATGGAGGTGAGTGAAGTGCTCGTAATATATGCCATGCTGCTGCAGTAAATCTTCATTGAATAGGAAAGGTCAGTTGCCATTCATATTCATGGGAGAGTAACTACAATAATTGTCCAAGAGATCTAGACATGTCCACAGGGGCGTGTCACGCTTAGAAACAGCGTTAGAAAGACATATAGGTATATAGACCCTACCCTAGTACTATATAAAAGGAAAAGGATGTAACGACGGAACCACCCCCTCCTCAATCTAAGTTAGATTTCACCACGTAAACTATTTTTAAGGCCCCGTCGAGGCCTTCGGATCAAAAGCGAGATGATTTCCCTACAAAATGAGCTATAAATGGTCACAATCGGATCATTATTTCAAAAGTTCTACGCCACGACTCACCGAAAACAGCTACCTCCGCAATTCCAAGCCAAAATCATGGATCACCCAAGACAGCGAAAACTCACCTTTAAATTCGTTTATTAATTCCAGCCACGTTGACAGCACCTATGTAGGGCTAGATTCGATCGGCAGCGGCATTCCACGGGTCAAAAACTTATTGCAACATCTACAAATCATTTCCTCGACAGTAAGCAGGCATTTTCTCCAAAACCATCGGCAATCATATACACTTGTCGGCCTTAAGCTGTTAGCTGTTTAGGGGACTGAAGACGTTATGGAGTGCATGTAAACTACATACACAGTCGGGCTCCTAATCTTGAGACGGCCACAAACTCAAAGCCGCAGGAGTACCACAATAGCGAATCATGTACTCCCGAGTTGGAAAAGATAAGCAAAGTTTCCTTGAACGTATACGACGATGGCTGTTTTTAAACAAGTTACGTTTATTTTGAGTTCCGTCAAAACACATTTCACACAATATTTCATGAGTGTGGCATTTATTAGAGTCGATGATACAGATTTCTCAAGAACACATCAGAACAATCACACACATCAGACATACAGGAGTGTGTCAGTGAGTTTGGTTTTATACCGCTTTTAGCAATATTCCAGCCATATAACGGCGGGGGAAACCAGAAATGGGACTCACACATTGCACCAATGTGGGGAATCGAACCCGTGTCTTCGGCGTGACGAGCGAGCGCCTTAACCACTAGGCTACCCCACCGCCTCAGACTCAGGAGAAAGGTCTGGCAGAGAGTTCGGTGTATTACAATTTCTAGTATGGTCAGTGATACAAAGTAAACTGTCTCTGGTGATGCATGAACACACAGATTCCCCTTGCGTTATTCAGGAAGTAGTGTATATATGCGCGTCTGGACCTCTGGAAAGTCTGAACGGTTCAGTAAAATGTTAAAGCGGGAACTCTTTGGTGTGCGTGAAGTTTTGTGTCAGGTTTATCATGGCCTGATCGCTTGCTTTGTGGAAAGTCCAGGCTAGGTGGGTTGTTTTGTTTTTTGTTTCGTTTTTGTTAGTGTGGTTTTTTCTGGTACTACTGTGGTTTGCAGGATTACAAAATACCAATGAGGAAAATCTGGTATACTTTTAAGAAAACGAAACACATTGATCAACTGGTCTGTAGGTTCAGTTTGGGTTGAAAATTCCTGGCCCTCCAGAATATTCTACTGGACAACAGTGATATCTATTTAAAAATCAATATACCTTTCTATCACCATACCATATCCTTATATGTGAAATGGCAGATATGAATATCTATAAACTACTGCGACCCTACAAGGGTGTGAATATTGAATTCTGCTTGGCCGACCAGACCATTGCCTGCATACTACAGCAGGTCCCCGGAATAGAAGCAACGTGCGTTAATGTCTGTTCACAATGTGTCTTGGGGGAAATCTGAAATTGGCGTGATCGAGGGGAGGGCACTCTTGTCCCCATGTCCGTCACCCTCTTGTCAATGGAAACGAATAAAGCGCCCGTAATATATCACATACGGCAACACTTTTAGGTGTTCCTCCAAAGAAGAGTGACTTGAGTTTTACGCCGCACTCAGCAATATTCCAGCTATATGGCGGCAGTCTGTAAATAATCGGGTCAGGACCAGACAATCAACAGCATGAACATCGATTTACGCAATTGGGATGGCGCTTATAGTCACTGAATATATTATTTTGATAGAAACAAATAATTGTGTGTTAATTTTAAATAAGCTCTAATGAGAAGGCAGATTTAGAACCCAAACCTCAGGAAATCTGTTTCGTTTAGGGCTTTAGTATTGCAGAAAGGACTAGGTAGAAGGGGAAATAATGAGGTTCTGCGACCGTGACTGTGTGAGACAGAAACACAGACCCGTGGTTTATCTAGGGTTTATCTAACGTCACCACAAGATTTTAGAAGGTCCCCGGCTGTAAAGTAGGGTCATGTCTGGACTGTCGGACCCAGCCACGGTTCTCGGTCAGTCGGTCCAGACTGAGCTACCTACTGGCCGCACTCCTTGAACAATAATATTTCTGAGTTTGGAGCCCAACAACACAAAAATCTTGCTTTGCTAAAAAACAACACAACCCTTTGGGGGCCTCTTACATGGACTTCCGGGTCCGGGGCATGCGTAGATCACAATTTGGCGCGAATGGCTGTGTACATGAAAACAAACTGATGCCTTGACAGTCATCATTCACATCAAATAATGGTACATTTACTAATTTGATTATAGAGCCAACAAGTTAGGTGTTGAATACTTTCACGGCTCACTGGTCAGACCGTGTCTCGTTAGGAAAGACGGCTTTATGCCTTGCTTAGATTTTCCGACGGTAATTGGTAATGTCTTACAGTTTTCGTTCATACTTTTGCTTCATGTCGAAGTGTTTATTCATGATCGACTGTGGTTAAAACAACGATCAAACTTAAAGGGAAGCTGCATATGATGAAACAGAACTATTTCGGCAGTGTGGTTGAATATACAGCAGCTTCGAGACTCCAGTCCGAGAAATGTTGTTTTGGTAATTTTGCCAGGCTTGTATTCTAGTAAAATATACTTTACCGAGATGTGTTCAGGAGTCTGTTGCAGGTGAATATATGAATGAGTTTTGATCTTTTAAAGCACAATGGTAACCATGATTAAATGCTTTCTAAAATCAGCAAAATACAATGTGTAATAGCAGGGAGACTATATGTTGTAGATTATCCCTGGTAATAGTCACTAGATTGTCTGGTCAAGACTTGATTGTTTACTGACTTCAATCATGTAACTGGATTATTGGTGTTTAACTGACAAAGACATTAGACAAAATCACTCGGGCTAATGCCAGATTCTGTACCTGATAATGAAGTTTTCTCCCTATCACGACAGTGTGTATTGAATGGTAGACCTAATGCCTGTGGTTATTAAAATTGTGATCACTCGACAATGTGAGATACTAACTGATTGTCAGTGATGATTAAAGATCAGATAGAGCTAGAATGAGGAAATATGATGGATAGTATATCATAGTAATACTTTTTCTTTCACATTGGAACATCTTCAGACTTCATTCACCTTGTTTATTTGAAACCATGAAATGTTTGAATAATATATTTAATTATTACGCAAAAATGATTGCCAGTGAGGTTAGTTTTACCCTGCACTCATCAATATTCCAGCTTTATGGCAGCGGTCTGTAAATAAAGTGTGGGCCAGACAATCCAGTGATCAAGAACATGAGCATCGATCTACACAATTGGGATAAGATGACATGTGTCAACCAAGTCAGCGAGTCTGACCACCCGATCCCAACTCTTACGACAAGCATGAGTTACTGAAGATCAATTCTAACCCCTCCAAAATTTAGGTGTAGTAAGGAATCATATTGCAGGATGACTGAAAGATGATATCTACTTGCCCTAGAGGACAAGTTGTCTAGTTGAGGAATTTTGAAGTATGCAAACTCAGGATATACCATGTGTACAGGACTAGTGGCTACATGCTACAGAAGAGGATGATTGGACAAGTTGGTTTCTGGTAAAACATGCTACCTGTATTTCTACTTTTGATGATATTTTCTGTTCAGGATATAAGGAATTTCTTTGGCCCAGTCGGGGTAAAGAGAGGCAAAGACACTGGTAATGATGAAAAGAAGAAACATTTGTCAGAGTCCAACAGGAAAGGCTCAAGGAAAACGTCTACAGAAAGAAACTCCAGAAAAAGACAGTGGAGACTCCCATAAAACTGACACAAAAACAAGAAAGGAAAAAGAGGTAACAAGTTTATCTTATAATATGATAGAATATATGATGATATGATGATATGATACAACATATTGTAACATCTTAACACCAGCCTGTAAGCTATGGCAAATAATCCCCAGGACTAGATGAACCAGTGGTCAGTAGTATCAACATGAAGATATCAGTGTTGTTTGATGTCCCAAGATATATCACAGCAGTCAGTGTCACACAATGTAACACAAGGCAGCCTTGTTGAGTTTCCTTGGCAGTTAACAATTCAGTACTTTGTCAGAGTTACTTTGGATGCCCAGATTAATGCCTGCTTCCTGAGATGGCACTTTCATGAGTTAGTAAAATGGTTATTCTTTTTGCACGCGATACAAGAACAAAGTCGTCATTGTGTATATTGTCATTGTAGAGCACGACTGAAGAGGAGGCTGATGCCGAGGATGTTGTACACAAGAAGGGAAAACCGAGATCCAAGAAAACACAAAGAATAGAATCAGGTGAGTGTGATCTGAATCTTTCGATGTTGTCGTGGTAACTCTATTTTCATGCCTTGATGCAGCATATGTGCTAACAGCATATGAAAATGACCACTGTAATTGAGAAGTCCTGAGATGTGTAATCCCAAATATAGTGTATGCTAGATACTACTAAACATCTGAGATAAATTCATTTTAGAATTGTCTCTCAACGGGGGCTATTTCAACTATATTCCGTCATGATGAAACTACTCCTTCGGTACCTATGGCCTTACTTCAGTTTGAAAAATGTTTTGAAATACAGTGGAAACCGCCTAAGTAAAGACCACTTAACTAAACAGACCCGATAAGTAAACACTTTTCTTTGGTCCCGGCAAATTTCTTCATTAATTATCACTATTAGAGTCCTGTTAACTAAACTCAGATAAGTAAACAATACCGCTTAACTAAACATCTTCTCACGGTCCCTGGAAGTAGATTACTTAACAAAAGAGACCGGATAACTAAATTAGTGATTACCACATAATCTGACATGAGAGGCACGTGTCAGTCTCCAGTTAAACAAACATCCTACTTACAGCTCGCTGGCGTCATGCAGTTGACAGTACACTGACAACTGGAGGCCAGCCCTGATAAGTTGTTCATTGTTACATATGCATACATATATACATGCATATGGTTGTCATTAGCTGGTTTTTATAAGTTTGAATAAGTAAAATACCTGATAAGTAAACAATTATGGCGAGTCCCTTGAAATTTGACTTATCAGGTTTCCACTGTACTTAGCATAGCAAGGGTACTGATCCTGAATACATGTCTGATCTGTTTCACTTTTTCAGATTCGGATGAGGAGCCAATTCCAAAGAAAAACAAAAAGAAGAAGGAAGCTGTTGTATTCATTGATGATTCTGGTAAGACCGATAACTTGAGATCTGAATATGGATTTGTCCAAGGACACAGTACTAACAGCTTTATTTCTGGTGTTATGCTATCATTTCCACAAATTATCCAGCAAGAAAGTCATTTAAAAATGGCAAAAAATACAGAACATTTCTGTATTTACAGATGAGGAAACTGATAGACCCAAGAAGAGATCATCATTAGATGGCTTTGTGACAGTAACACCACCCAAACCTAAGCAATCTAGTGCTAAAACTCCTGAGGCAAAGACACCAATCTCTGCCTCGGATTTCTTCGGAAGTAGTTCTGTGCAGAGGAGTGATCGCAAAATAGCAGCAGCAAAGAGGAAACAGGTGGGTTTTCATTATCAAAATATAATAATGATATTATATACAGACAGAAAGTGTGGCCCCTACAGCAACAAAGAGAGTGATACTTACTGCAACATCCAAAGTGTTCACAAAACAAAACAGACCAATCACCATCAGTTTTACAAAACATTTCATTGTTTCTCATTACTGCGATTTGTAGGCTTTGCACTGTCATTCGTACCAGTCGTAGCCAGCCTAATGTTGAAATTGATGTGCTGAAAGAAGGTTCGATTCCCCACATGCACTATGTTTTAAGCATTTCTGGTGTCCTACTGATATTGCTGGAATATTGCTAAAGCGCGTAAAACTAAACTCAGTCAGTCAGTCTAGCATAAACAATGTTGAAATTGATGTGCTGAGCAAAGGTAGCACTATGTTTTGTAACAAAACCTACTGAGTTTGGAATTCAATCCCACATGGGTACAATGTGTGAAGCCCATTTCTGGTGTCCCCACCGTGAATTGAAGGAATATGCTAGTTTGGTTTAAACCAAACTCAGTCAGTCAGTCAGTCCAGCTACATGGTGGCGGTCTCTAAATAATCGAGTCTGGACCAGACAGTCTAGTGATCAACAGTCTTGTGACAGTCTAGTGAGTCCATCGATCTGCGCAATTAAGGTACAATGACATGTGTAAACCTAGTCAGCGAGCCTGACCACCTGATCCCGCTAGTCGCCTATTACGACAAGCATTGGTTACTGCAGATCAATTCTAAGCCGGATCTTCATGGGTCAAGCATAACCAAACTCTTAATGCTCTTCAGATCTATCGTTTTTGAAAGCATCAACATGAGCCGCCATTGCAGTGCCCTATGTTCAATGTTGCTTTAGTTGTAAAATCTGGAGATGCGGTTCAGGAAATACGCTTTTGGTACATCTAATTCAAGGGAGGTAACTCTCATTTGGATTTATTACTAAATTCTGTTTGCTGAATTTCGGAGGTTGATCATATAAAGATAATTGCTTCCAGACAGCAACACCTTTGAAATAATGACTAAATGATGTCAGGTACCTTTTTTTCATTTTCACAATGCTGATAAGTATTTATTTTTCCTTATCCTGACTCATGCTTATTGCTTGTCTCCTTCCTCTTGCGAACGTTAGTGGAACACTTGTATCTTCTATTGAAGCTCCCTTCAATAAAAACATACGTAAAATCACTACTTACCATGAGTTATCCGTCTGGCCGTTTTGGCGGGAAAAGTGGCGCCACCGCTTCCACATGCTTCACTCTCTTCTTCTTCGCCCTAGTGGACAGTTGGGAAAGCGCCTGTGTCTTCTATACGGCACTATATCCTTTCATTTATTAGTTATTACCCTATACATTACCTTTATAGGGGTTTAGGGAGTATCCTTCAACAATATGGTTTGAAATTAATTAAGTAAATTTCACTGTTTATTCAACGGTTTTGTCCGTGTTTGTTCAGTTGTTTACATTTCATGAAAACCTGTTCGTTGTGAGTTTAGGTTAAGCTACTGCAGACCCGCATTTATTGTGCCCTAGCTGCACAACACCATGTACTTCCAGCTCTGCTGCAACCTTTGTCAGCATTTAACCAATTTTGAATTTAATAAATATATTTTTGCGTGCCAGAGGTGCAAAGACAGATCCAGGAGACTTGTTCAAGTCATGGATAAGCCCGGCTGAATCCCTCACGTGTCAACTGATGTCAGATGACCCTCTTCCCTCCAGTGATCCGCCCGGGATGTCCTCGGAGGATGAAGTGGGGCGTTGTCCGCCACCTGCGCCAGAAGAGGGCTGCCGCCGAACATCCCTTCATAGCGAGCGAAGAAGAAGAAGCCATCCTCGCCAGAGGCGGCCGCGCACCCTAAGGCGACGAGCAGCTCCGCGGGAGGTCTGCGCGACAGCTAGGACTTTCGGCCGAGAATGTTCCGATGGAGGAAAGAACTCTATGATGGCGGCCGCTCCTCATCCCGGATACATCACCCCAAGAAGAAGCAGGCCTCAGCAGCGGTAACATCAAGCGCCAGTTATCACGCGCAGTCGAGGTATCTACACTGGCGGCAGATGGCGATCACTGGACCATATAAGCTACCAGCGCCCAGAGGTCAGCTCATCTATCACCGCGAACATTCAACCCGGAGCCTTCATGCAGCGAGTTCTCACAACAGATCATGGAAATGATGGAGAAACTTCCGCAGGAAAGAGATCGACAACCAGCCTTGGACACCACTGCGCAGGGGAGGACCGGACCTGCACAAGGACCCCGCCGGCGGCGCGTGGAGAGGCATTCCATGGGCAGCGCAGATGAACAGCCTTGGCGAAGGTCTTGGAGACAGCCTCAGGGCGTCATCAACATCTCACAGATCGTCGAGGATTAGCGAGGGCCTTCCACGAACCAAAGAGCGGCTCACCTCCGCTCTGATAGGCCCTACAGGCACAGCTCTACAGGCTCATCTCCCGCGAAGGTCTCCGCACGAGGTCTCCACACAGATCCCCAGCGGAGGATGTTCAACGATCTCCGATCAAGCGCCCTTAAACAGAGGAGGATGGCGGTATTATCTTCTCCGGCGCGAGATCAGATACTGGATGGCCAGCGGACTGGAGTTAGCGTCACCCTCTAAGGAAGAATGCAGCACTCCGCGTTACCTGATGAAAGGCGATGATGTAGAGACACAATCACTCTACCGCCAATTGATCCCATCTTGGAGGTTCCAGAAGAACGGGCGCCTTCCACAGAGGCAGCGAAATCCCAGGCGCCGAATATTCCACAGTTCAATGCTAAGAAGTTCTCTCTGCACAATATGGACCCCTTCATGGCGCAGGACATCGATGATAACTACAAGGTCATCAAAAGCGCCGCCCGGACCAAGTCTTACAAGATTGACGACAAAAGCTGGCGCCAGATAGAGACTATGACCAGAAGGATGTTCTTCGGCCTGAATAGATCCAGGGCAGTGAGCGAGGCGTTCATCGCCATGAAGTTCAAGGACTCTACGCAGAGGGAGGACGGATGATCTACTCTGCTCTACTCATGCAGAAGAAGGACCAGCAGTTTATGACGGACCATCTATCATCCATCTCAGCAGGGTTGACATTGGCGAGGCGGCAAGGTCTACTAGCATCCTGCAACTGGAGTGAACGCTTCACAAAGTCGATGTACACAGCCCCATGGTCGACGCCATCCATCTTCGTAGGGGAGATTGACAACGTCGCCAAAGAAGTTACCAAAGACTCCAGAGAGGTCCTCATGATAAAGTCCATCGATACCCTAGCCAGTGTCATCAGGCAGACGTCCCAGCGCTACTCGGGAAAACTGGGGAATTCTTCAAGATCCTTTTGTATCCAGCATCCTAAGAGACGGATATCGCATACAACTTCAAGCAACTCCGCCATTGACAGACGAACCCCAGAAGTTCAACTTCACGACCCATCGGACAGAGAGGCTACGACAAGCGGTCACATCTCTACTAGAGAAGGAAGCCATAGAAGTGGTGGACCAGGACCAGCTCTCACCAGGATTCTACTCCCCAGTTTTCCTAGTACCAAAGAAAAACTCCAAAGAAAAGTTCCGACTCATCTACAACATGAGGGCCTTCAACAAAGATTATCTACGCAGACCACCAAAGTTCAGCATGATACATCTACCACAACACCTCGTCCGTCCGATGGACTACATGGCCAGCATAGATCTACAGGGCGCCTACCTGCATATTCCTGTACATCGGACTCAAGGAAGTACCTGAGGTTTATACTGGGCCGGGCTGACACTACCAATGGAAGGTCCTGCCATTTGGAATATCATCAGCCCCTGGTTGTTTACAAGGGTGGCCGAAGCCCATAGTCGCATACCTACCTGCATCATCGAGGTCTCACGCCAATGCATTCTACCTAGGCGGCGGGATTCAAGTACATCAAGATCCCAAGCATCTAAGACTTCAACTGGACTTCACCATCAGACTGCTTACACAACTGGGGTGGCTAGTGAATCTCCTCAAGTCGGACCTAGAACCTACACAGGACCTACAGTTCCTAGGAATCCGGTTCATCACAACACAGAACCGCATAGTGGTACCAGAGGACCCGATGGCTCAAGATACAACAGATGATCTGCATAGGTTCTACTCTCTCCGTGGCCACTACGACAATGGCAGAGTCTGTTGGGTCTCCTCACATCAGCGCAAGACATGACAGTCAGAGGGAGACTACAACTACGCCCTCTACAGGTCTTCGTCAATGCTCATCTGGACGACTCGGACTCCCGGACGCACTACGCCCATATCTACTATGGTGGACCCAGAGATCGAATGTTTGCGGAGGCACCTATTTAGCAGAGCGAGGAGTGCGGCGCATCTCGTGTGGGCCACTTTATCACTCCAAGGTTGGGGCACACATCTGCGACAACGGCGTGTCAGCTGGGACATGGACCAAGAGGAGGAAGTTCTGCACATCAACATGCTAGAAATGAAAGCAGTAGTAAGCGCCATACTCCCCTGGACCAACATTCTGCAGGATGCGCATCTGATGGTACATACGGACAACTCCACAGTGGCGTTCTACATCAACAGGCAAGGATCAACAAGATCGTCGAACCTCCTGGACCTCTGCTTTCAACTGTTACGGCGCATAACAGGCGACCTGAACATCCACATAAGAGCATGCCACATTCCAGGAGCCAAGAATGTGATCGCGCAGGCGCACTGTCCGTCCAACACAGCCGTCCCCAACAGAATGGATGCTACACCCAGAGATCTTCAAGCAGATCATACAAAGAGATGGGAGCACCACTAATAGACCTCTTAAGCCGAGATTCAACAATCAACTGATAACATTAGTCTCACCAATACCAGATCCACGAGCATGGGCAGCGGGCGGCTCTAAGCATCTCCTGGGAAGGACTAAGCGGCGTACGCGTTTCAACCACCAGCTCTAATACCGAGGGTGTTGCAGAAAATCAGCCAGACGAAGGACCTACAACTGATTTTGGTCGTGCCCTACTGGCCAGCGAGAATATGGTTCCCCATTCTCATACAAGAATTAGGACAACCTCAACTGCAACTACCAGAGTGGACGAATCTACTAGTACATCCTCACACAAAGCAGGTGCACGGCAACCCAGAGGTGTTCCGACTACACGTGTGGACTGTATCAAGGCGTGCTTGAACAAGAGAGGATATTCCGCCAGGGCAGCGAAAGCAGTCACACTAGCTCTACGCAAGTCTACACGCACCTTGTACGACGACAAGTGGCGAAGCTTCGAGACATACGCTGCGAGGACAGGTTTTACAGCTATAAAGGCAACACATCCTCAAGTGGCGGACTACCTTTGTCACCTGCGACAAACAAAGCGGTTAAAAGGGTCAACACTTTCAACATACCTAGCGGCATTGAGCTCAGTCATCTCCATGAGGACGAAAGTACCAGAGTTACTGGCCTTACTACGCTCTTATAAATTGGAGGACCAACAACAGAGATTTAAAGCTCGGGTGGGACCTCAAGCGTGGTTCTCGACATCTCACCAGCGGCGTCTGAACCATTAGAGAGGACATCCTTCAAGTTCTTGGCGCCAAAAGGCGCTGTTCCTGCTGCAGCCCTAGCAACAGCAGCCAGGATGTCAGAAATACATGCTCTGGACTCTCTGAGAGAACCGCGATTTGATGAAAATCAAAACACTGTGCATATGGGACTGCGATGGGATTTCATCGCAAAGAATCAACTGCCAGGTCAACCGGACAGACAATTCCACGTCCCGGCATGATCATCCGTTCTTGGACCACAGGATATGCAGGACCTATCCTTGTGCCCAGTGAGAGCATTGAAAGTCTACCTACAAAAATCCAGGATCAGGAGGCGGAAATTCAAGCGTCTTTTAGTCCGATATCAACAGCGGCAGCAGACAGGGTCTCCCTTTACGATATCAATCTGGATCAGAATTGTCATACTCACGGGCCTACAAAGCAGCTGGACTAGATCCTCTAAGAACCTCCAACCCACTGCGAGATTAGAGCTCTGGCATCAACACTCGCTCTACATGGGAATTGCTCTATCAGGACGATAATGGACGGCTGCTTTTGGAAATCAGACATGGTGTTTGCCAACCATTACCTGAGGGACATCGCCACCGAGGGCGTCTCTGGCATTCACCGTTTCGGCCCGCTGGTTGTTGCACAACAGTTGACAGTCCCTCAAAGGCGTTGAGGCGAAGTCTGCGCCCTTTTATCACATGACTTGATAAAGCCTACACTTTCGGAAGAGTTCAGCTTGGAGTCTATATGCGTCTAAGGACAGACTAGCATAAGTGATATGACCCAGTACTTGTAAGGATACTGCGTTACAGGAAAATTAAACTTCTCCACTTGATGCTTGCATCAAGAGATGGAATCATAAAATCCACATAAAATGTTAACAGAAGCCAGGACCAAAGTGAACTATTGTGGTCCCCGTCAGAACAGCTGGAAGTACAGGGTTACAGCAGCAGCAGAAAAACAGCAGTGCCAACATGAAGTTCCCATAGGGGGTATATAAGGCGTAAATCACTACATGAAATCCAGAAGTAACTTGACCAGCCTCCAAATCCGGCCAGTTCTACAAGCAATAAGCATGAGTCAGGATAAGGAAAAATATGTAATTTTCTGAATAAAATTGATATTTTATACTTATCCTGACTCATGAGGTAAGCCCTCCCAACCCTCCCGCTAGACACTTTTGGATTTCCTGCAAATTAAAGTGTCAGGCTCATAAATCGAGGAGTGAAGCATGTGGGAGGGCCGGTGGTGGCCACTTTCCCCGTCAAAAGCGGCCAGAGGGATAACTCATGGTGAGTTGTGATTTTTTACGTAATGTTTTTATTGAAGGGAGCTTCAATAGGGAGAAACACGTGTTCCACTATGTTTGCAAGAAGAAGAAGACAAGCAATAAGCATGAGTCAGGATAGTATAAAATATCAATTTTACTCTAAAATATCAATTTTCATTTTCATAATGCTGATAAGTACAATTTGTTTTGGGATTTGCAGATGATATTAGGCATTTTGATGCCTGGAACTTTAAAGAAATGAAATGCCCTGGCATTGAACATTTCCCCTTCAACTGCAAATCTCTAAATACATAGCGCTAACTAAATGATGACAGTTGTCTACTAAATGATGAAAATAGTGTACAGTACACAACCCTGGGCACTTAAAAGAACCCACGAATCTGTTGGTATATGACCAGATGGTGGCCACATGAATACGTGCAAACACCTAGTTGCGGGTACAGCAACGTGCAGTGAAATTGGACAAAGTACTGTGACTATGTGTCCCAGTTCACTCAGCTGTGAATGGGTACCTCGTTAGGATGAGAAAGCCACAATAACTCGGTGCGCCTAGTGGCTGCAAGAGTTGTATACTCCCCGGGAGCTGAGATTGATGAAACGATGTGACGTTGAGATTGACATCCAATGATCGAGGGAACAAATACCAGAGCCTTGAGCATGTATTAGTTGCCTGGATATGTGCGCTATATAAATATCCTATAATTAAAAAAATTGATTTTTTGGGGTAAAAAACACTGTTGCAATCATGCCATTTATACATCCCTACATATTATGATGAAGTGTTATTGTTTGTAACTTCATAGTCGACTGAGAGAAGAAATTCCAGTGATGTAGAGATGCATGATGACGATGACTTTTCGAAGACTCTGTCCCAGCTTGATGACGAAGTGCTACCCAAGAAAGTAAGATTTGCCATCTTTGTTAAAAGTGTAAACATATTTATTCAAGGTAATTGGGCCTGTAAGTCTTGCGAGGTGCTACTTGAAACTAAGATGGTTCCTGGCTCACTTTGCATGCACCATCTTGCGATCTGCGTGACAGGGCCCTGCTTACTTCCAGTACCAGATTTCCAGTGACAAGCATATATTCAAGAACCAGTTCTGGTTCCAAATTGTGCAACCCCCAAATATGACTTTACTTGACCGTACCAAGTGTACAACCATGCTTGGCTGTCATCGCTGTTGACAGTCGTAATAGTTGGCTAATTTTGGGAAATTTGCTATTCCTGCAAGGATTATCGGTTCCTTGCTGTCAACTGACAACCATGAGACCATTTGTAAGGGTATGAAACATTTGTCAAAGGAAGTACTAAGGTCTCGCGAAGTGCTGTGACCTACTTATTATACGGGCCCTATTATTATCTTGAAACTTGAGCTGGCAGGCATTTGGCTTTTTCTGACTTCACTCCCTCTCAATGGGACTGTCAATATGCCAGTGTTTTTTCTGCAGCTAATATATATATATATATATATAAGAAGTACTTTCTGAAATAATTACACAACAGGAGAAGATCCGTGTAATTAGCTTCATTATAGCGACCATATAGGTTCACTTTCTTTATACATATATGCTTCCTCAGGTACCCATTTTGAACAACTGGGTGGACTGAGTGCAATGTGGACTGAGTGCAATGTGAAGCGAAGCAAGTGCCAGGGACTCAACACAGTATGAGATCCATATATATTTATTTATGTGGAGCACAGTGGTGTAGTGGTTAGCATGCTGGCCTCTCACGTCAAAGGCCCGGGTTCGAATCACGGTGGAGACACCAAAATTTGTGACCTGAGTCTCATACTGTGTTGTGTCCCTGGGCAAGGCACTTCGTCCACATTGCACTAAGTCCACCCAGTTTAAAATGGGTATCTGAGAAGCGAATGTACGGCCGCGCAAAGCACTTACTAGCGGCTTTAAAAGTACAGTTCCGTCAGGGTAATAATGTAACGCCAGAGAGCAGCATTGTGTTGGATTCTAGGTGCAAAATTTATCATTATTATAATTATATTGGTGACTGCCAACTTTCCATGTTTTTGTCTGTTTTTTTATATGTATTATATCAAAATGGAGTCTGCCTTTGTTAAAAATTGCTTCAAGATTGTGACTGTCAACTTTATATCCTTGTTAATATTCAACAAATATATACATGATTTTTTCTTATCCTGACTCATGATCTTTTGCTTATCTCCCTTTCCCTTGCAAATGGTAGTGGAACACTTGAATCCCTTGAAGTTCCCGAAGTGGACGTAAAAATACACTCACCCATGAGTTACCTCCCTTTTCCTGCGCAAACAGTCATGTGACCAGCCTTACTTGTCACTCTCTCCTGAATTTTCTGCCCAAGCACTTGGATCTGCTGTGCAATCCGAAGTGTTTCCAGCGAGGAGGTCGGAAGGGCTTGATCTCATGAGTCAGGATAAGTATAAAAATATCAATTTTACTTGAAAAATTACATATTTTTTCTTATCCTGACTCATGATCATTAGCTTATAGAATCCGGCGGATTGGTAGTAGGTCAAACCACTTCCTGGATTCATCAGCTGTCCTTAGATACGTCCTGTATCCCACCCATTGGAACTGTGTAGCGGCATGTCCGAGATCCTATTCTTCCAACTTCCGTTATAACACGGGGGGAGCACTTCTTGTCTTACTTCCATCTCAGACAAGTTGAATCATCTTGATTCATTCGGCTTCAGATAAACTAGTATCTTGGGCGAGCACTGGAGTCCCGTATACGGCATTATATCCTTTTTATTTAGATCCTATTCTTCAAAATTACACTATGTATGGTTTTGTCAATAACTACTATGTATTATATGTAAAAAAATTGTAAAAATTATTTGTATTTGTGTCATAATTTCATCGTTATGTAACTTCGTTTACATTTCATGAAATCTTGCAGTGATTGCAGGCACAGGTTATCCGTAGCTGATCCTCACCCCCAATGCCCTTGACTATGCCTCCGATTGAACCTATATCCAAGGTACCTTCTAACCTATGCACAGCTTTGAGAAAGTTGCAGACATCTAAAGGTTCCAGAACTCTCAGATCTACAGGCAGATAACAGCAACGAAGACATCTACAGGGTTCACGAACCCTAGGGTTAACATACTCTTACATTAACAGGCAGGATGTTGACGTCGACTCTATTACCATACGGCTGAATAAAACGAAGCAATGATGAAAACGGATGGTTTTGTCAGAGTTTAAAACTCAACAAAAAGATCTACAACATGTGTGATCTCTACAGTTTACAACCTGCACAACTCTACAACCTGCACAAACCTTACACCTGTAATAGGTTCAGTTTCGGACGACAACCTACTTGATGAAAGGAATCCCTTCATCTACGCGGATGCTGAGGTCTTATACCGGGTAGCAGATGGCCTGCGGATATTATCGTTCACTCACTCACTCCAACCCAACAGAGGCGTCACGGCATATACGGCTGATGACTTACGACTCCCAATATGATATCACCCATGAAGCCCGATATCTCAAGTACTGGAGAACCTCAAGGCGACCTTTGTAAAGGGCTTAAGGTTAACAAGGCCTTCAAGAATACTTGAACGGACGTACAGATGATATTATTAACACTCGTCACTCAGCATGGGGATTAGGATTTATATCCTATCAACTAGATTCAACATCGGTATTTCTTCAAGATCCATACAGACGTACGTCTCAACAGCCTCCTTCGTCATGCTGGTTTATATTATCCACAATGGGAATACGTGATTTATACCACTGAACAAGAATTTACACTTGGAGCAACCCTTATTCAAGAGGTTTATATGAGTGGCGTTAGAATTACGCGCGCTTTTACTCAACCAACTTATTGCACCAGAATTTGTGGAGGCCAACTTGCTACAACACCGGTGACGTCATGCTTGAAGCTGATTGGTCCACGTCAGACAATGCCTCCCATTGACAGAGCAGGCACCAGCAAGTTTACTGACTTGTAAACAAACTCGTGATACGGGGAAATACTTCATCGGCAGCCTTGGAAACAGTATACAACTACGGCCTGTTATCCTCATGGGAATCTAATAGATGTCTAGCCTTGACAGCAGGATAAACGATGTTTATTTTGGAAGTTGTCGCTGATAAAAGTCGGTATCAGTACCTGTCCCCTGCGATGCTACACTGGAGCCAGCCTTGCTATAAATAGACAACGCTTCGATGTATGCTGATCAACACAGATCGCTGCGTATATAAGGGGAAGAATGATGTATCATCACTGCAATCAGAGGTTAGCACTTACAATGGAACGTCCTACCGTTTGGAATATCATCGGCTCTATGATTATTCATACAAATAACCAAGCCTATCTGCACCTATCTGCAGCATCAGGTCTACGCAGTGCCGGTTATCTGGACGACTGCATACAGGTTCTTCAAAGTGCCAATCAACTCAGACAGCAGCTGAACTTCACAATTAAGTTGCTCATGCAACTAGGATGGCTAGTGAACCTGATGAAGTTGAAGTTAGAATCAAACAAGATCTTCAATTGTTTGGAATAAGAATTACCACAACACAGAATCAAATTGTGGTCCAGAAGATCATTGGGTCAAGATACAAGCCATGTTCCACAAGCAGCAACACTACGAACATGGCAATGTCTACTCGGTCTACTAACCTCGGCACACTACTTGACTCGCACAGGAAGGTTACAGCTAAGGCCGCTGCAACAGTTCCTGACAAAACATCTAGACAGCGTCGACCCTATCTTGCTGCCAGACAATCTTAAGAGTTACCTACTTTCGTGGACCCACAGGTCGAACGTCTGTGGAGGGACCTATTTACAAGAGCCGGCCTTTGACACACATCTCTACATAGGCGCATCGATACAAGGTTGGGGTGCACATCTCAACAATCTAGTTCCATCAAGGAAGTGGTCCAAACAGAGCAGCATCTTCACATCAATCTGCTGGAGATGAAAGCTGTGATCAACGCCTTGCAACTATGGTCGAGCTCGCTGATCAACAGAATGCTGATGGTCCACACGGACAACTCTACAGTGGCATTCTCCATAAATCAGCAAGGATCTACAAGATCACCAAGCCTGCTACAGCTCACATCCCAGTTGTTTGACATCACGGAGGAGGCAAACATCTGGATAAAGGGGTGTCACATACCCGGAGCCAAGAACGTACTTGCAGACGTCACCTACGGAATGGATGCTCCATCCAGAAGCCTTTCGGCACATCATAAGGGAAATAGGATCCCCACGCATAGACCTGTTTGCCACGAGGTTCAACAAACAACTACAGACGTTTGTCTCACCAGTTCCAGATCCTCAAGCCTGGGCAACAGATGCACTGAACATATCATGGGAAGGACTAAACGCTTATGCGTTTCCATTACTGATATTACTACCGAAAGTACTGTTGAAGATCAAACAGACACAGGGGCTACAACTGACCTTGGTCGCGCCATACTGGCCAGCGAGAGTATGGTTCCTAGACCTAATAGAAGATCTTGGAAGTCCAACAATCAAGTTACCAGATTGGCCGAACCTACTCATACATCCGCACACCAAGCAAGTCCACGAAAACCCAACACTGCTCCAGCTACACGTGTGGACCGTATCAAAACATGTTTGAAGAAAAGAGGATACTCCTCCAGGGCAGCCAAGGCAGTTACGCTAGCGTTACGCAGATCTACTCGTAACTTGTATGATGACAAGTGGCTGAAGTTTGAGACTTATGCAAGGCGGAAAGGCTTCATTGCTATGAAAGCTACTCATCCTCATGTGACGGAATACCTGTGTCATCTTAGACAGACTAGACATCTGAAAGGTTCGACATTATCTACATACCTCGCTTCCATCAGTACAGTGATTACCATGAAAACAGGCATCAAGTTGACCCAGAATTACTTGCTCTGCTGAGATCTTTTAAACTGG